ATGGGAGAGGATGGTTCTTGGTGCCAGAGACCATGCACTGAAACCCTTCTGTTTTTACAGACAGAAAGATAGAGAGAGCCCGTCCACTGATCTCTGCCAAGGGTGAGGCAGGGACCACAGCCCGGCCCTCCAGCCCCGTCCCCCCGGGTCCTGTTTGGCTAGTACCCCTCCCCCCATAACTTTCCCCATTGTTTTGTGTTTGCTGTTGTTTATTTCCTAGAGAAATCTGGACATTCTTGGGGTAACGGTGGGCAGACCCCCCCAACCCTTTGTTAAGCCATATATCACCTGCAGAGTAACTCCGTGTTCTACCCCGAGCTTTGCACCTGGCTTGGCTGCCGTGGCCCGGGGCCCGTCCCCACTGACTCAAACCATCCACTCGGTGGCTTCAGTCACTGCAGTGGCAGAAACAAGATGCCAGTCCCTTTACGTGGCATTAAAAACAAACTCCTCCTTTCTGCATCGCCCTGTTTCTGTGAAAGCTCCCTGTTTACCCAGGGCAGAGGGGCTGGCCGTCCTGCCAGAGGTAGCCAGATGTAGGGCCCCATCCGTCTGGCTCCTGGTTTAGCCTTAGCCCCAGCGGGCACAGACCAAGCACTCGATAAATAAATACCGCTGGCTGGATGGACACTCTTCCTTAGGTAGAACAAAGAGATGCCATCTCTGCTTGTATGGCAGTGCTCAGCTGACTTCTTTGTCCATTTTGAACTAAATCCCTTAAAGATTAACGATTAAGTATAACTTCAGAAAATTAATCTCTGTTAAGACCCCTATAATATACCCTGAAATGCGTATAATGCTGTTGGAGTTTTCTCTTGTTTTGTATTAAACACAAAATGTCCTATCTTTACACAAAAATTCCTGCCGGCGTTGCCCTTGTTGTTCGTTCTCCCACGGCTGTCTTTCTGACGCTACGCCACACGGCAAAACAAACACATCGACCCAGAACAGCGTGGCGGTGAGAGCACAGATCGGTTCAGAGCATGGAACGAGGACAGTGGAGCCTCGGGGGGCGGGGGGTGGAGACGACGTGAGTTGCCCCGGCGACAGGCGCGTCAGGGGCCCTGACTGCGCCAGGACAACACGTCAGCGTGGCAGAACTGCACTCGTGCCCATGAGTAGACATGCCACAGAAAATAAACAATCCGTCCTCGGGGAAGCAGATTTAACTGCCGTCACTGCGAGAGTCCAGCACCTCCCTAGAAGCGCATCTCGACTGCTGTGTAGATCGTGTTAATGTGCCTGCAGTTGGGACGGAGCCCTTATGACTACCTTGAATGTAGTTGTTAAACAGTCATTAACATCCATGGAACTGGGGGCGTACCCTGACCTCGCTTGCCCCAAGATATCAAGGGTCAATAATGGAAACGGAGCAGAAGCTCGGGGCCTCCCCTGCAGACGGCCCCGCACCTGCAGCTCCGAGGGCGATCACGCTCAGAGACCTCCGGCCCCGGCACGAGAGTGACGAGGAACCAACACTCTGGAAAAGGCCTGCGATCGGGCTTGGACTGGGGCGCGACACCCTCCCCGGCCCCGCCTCCTCCAGGTCACCCCGGCCCCTTCCGCTAAGACCCCTCCTGTGCCCGTCTGCATGCCAGGGCCAGTCTCTTAGACACGGGGACTCGGTCTCACCTGCCTTTGCGCTTCCCACAACATGTGGGTTGGAATTTATTTTATTAAATTTATTGTATTAAATAAATAAAACTATCAGTTTTAAAAACAAGTGCCAGGCTTAAAATGCAGTTTTTATTATTATTCAGGCTTGGCAAGACAGCAGATCAGGAGGCAACTGTCACAGAGCCCAAGAGGAGGGGTCACCCAGGAGCCTTGCTGGTGGCATCCGGGGAGGGGCCGGGTGAGGGGTGAGCGGGCGCAGGACTGGCTGGTGCTGGTTCCCGGGGCTCTGCTGGACAGGGGCTGCCCTGGCTGCCTGGCTCCTGGCCCTGGGCAGTGAGGGCAGGAGGGCCGTGCCCCAGAGAGCGGGAGGCCGCGGTTGGGTGGGGGGTGCTCAGGATCGGCTGGTTTGTGAAGGGCACCCCTGGGTGACCGTCCCTCCTCTCCAGGAAGGAGCTCGCCCTGGGAGGGGCTGCCCCCGCACTGTCTGAGCGGCCCAGACACCGGAGCGTCAGATACCAAAGTGACAAGGCACAAGCAGTGCAGGTGGGCAGAGGTCCCTTTCCCGGTCCCCAGGCTGCCTCGCCGAACACCCCCACCGCCGTGCGGGACCGTCCCGGCAGGAAGGGAGGAGCTCTGAGATGCCAGCGCCCGCCCGCCCTGCGGCCCTGGGCGAGGCACCTCGGCTCCCCGGAGTGGCCTCCCTGTCTGGGAAATGAGGCAAGGGGGACGGGTGGCTCCTGTGACTCCGTCCCCAGCTCCTAACTGCGACACAGAAAACCTGCAGTCCTGCGCTGCTCAAGGAACCCGAACTCAGAGCCGCTCAGTGCTAACGAAATGTACCACCCCTCGGCCGGTCACAGGGTGGAGGAGGGTCTGGAGGTCCCCGTCACCTGTCCCAGGCGGCTTCCAGCGGGCCCCCGGGTGCAGCCAGGTCTCCAGGGAGCGGTTCTCCCGGAGCGCAGTGCGGGCTCCTGGTACCGGCGCTTTGCGTTTCTGCCTCGCTCCCCAGCCCGGCACTCGAGCCTCACTGAGAACGCGCCGCGCCCAGCGCAGAGCTGCCGCCCGGCCGTGGTTCCCGCCCCGCACACGTCCCACCCGAGAGGACCTGTGGGCGTTCCCCTCAGGGCTCAGCAGCAGGAACGGGTGTGCTCGCCTGCACAGCTAGGTCGGGCTTTTCTTCTTGTTGTTTTCTCTGGCCTGCCCCGTCCGCGTGCCGTCCCCCTCCCTGGGCAGCCAGCCGTCCCAGAGTGAGCCCGCGGACCCGCAGCCTGGCGCGGCGCCTCCCCACGAGCAGGGGCCGCTGAGCTCGCGCCGGGCTCTGTATTCCTTTTTCTGCCTTGTTTCCTTCCCCTGCATGTAGGCACTGACTTATCCTTTTTAGTCCTGTTTTGAATGTATTTAACTTGATTGAAGTCCTCTGGGAATGGGACGGGCGGTCCGTACGGAAATACGCCACAGAGGTGATGTTTATTTCCGTCGGGGCGAGCAGCAGCGTGACGGCCAGGGCTGGGCTGGGCGGGAGCTCGCCGGCGGGACGGGCACCCGGAGGGCCGTCTCTGCCCGCAGAGTGCGACGGCTCGCTTGTGCGCTTTGTGCTTCAGTTTCTTAACCCCCCAATACAAGCAAACAACTTTCATTCCCTTATAGAATCATTACGAATATTATTTTGTAATTTCAGAGTGAATATTAATAGGCAGCTTTCTTAAGATTATATTTTCATATGCAAAGATCCACAGACCTAAGAATATTTATCAACCACAAATCTGCATATAGCTCGGCGTAAACAGGTAGACATACTTACAGATACATATAAAACAAGAAAATCAGCACATTTTTTTTTTGCCATCCCCAAAATATGTGCACGTAGTTGGAAAGTCACAGATTTTCTTCAAAAAAAAAAAATGTTAAGACTTATAAAGAATATGCCCACCAGTCGGTCAGTGATTTTTAGAGCCTTTTTTTTTTTTCATATTTTTCCTTTTGAAAAAAAGGCATGCAAGATATAAGAAGAAGCGATTTCTCAGCAGGTCGTAGAGCTCCTCGGCATGCCCCGGTTCGGGCCGCGCCTGGCGCTCACCTGCTCACCTGCGGCACGCGGCGGGCTGTGCTGGGGCCACCGCCTCAAAACGGGCAGCTGCGGGGTGGGGGGCAGCGGGGTTCACGGGGTGCAGGGTGCCTGCCTAGGATGAGGAAAACATCCCCAGAGGGAGCGGGCGGTGCCTGCACAGCCGCAGATGATGAAGAGGGTAAGTGTTATGTCATGCACACTTCACCACAATAAGGAAGTTTTACAGTGTAAACTGCCAGGTCTCCTTAGCTGACTCTCTTCACCTTTACCTTTCGGTAACAGTTTAAACAAACATCAGCCTCCTCACCTGTTCTTCCCTTTGGTTCTAGAATTGCAGGAAAACGGCTGACACCCTTCCCTTCGATTACGGAAACACACTTGGGGACAGCAACGCTAAGTTCGCCGGGTTCTAACCCGAAGCAAAACCCTGAAACACAAGGCAAACCCAGGAACGGGCACTTCGGTCCCGCGTGCCGGCAGCCTGCTCCTGGCGAACCCGGCCCGTGCTAAGGAGCTGAGAATCCCGTCTGCGTGTCCGTCCGTGGGGAGCAGCCTGGGGACCTGTCCCACGGCCCAGCTGTCACCCTCGTGGTCTCCCAGCCGTGCGCAGAGACGGCCGGACCTCCCCAGGGCCCGACGCCAGCGCTCTCACCCTTACCTTCCTGAGGAACAGTTTCTGCAGCTTCCTGCGTGGCAGCCTGATCATGCTTCCCGCTCCAGGGGCGGCCACTCTCCTGTGCCACCTCCCGGCCACGGCGCCCGCCCGCCCTCCCTGCGCATCCCAGGCTGCAGCTCCTGCGGCCCCCTCTCCTCCCCTCCCCTCCCGCGCCCCACTCCCCCATCCGCCACCGCTGATCTCCACTCAAAAGAGCCCCCACCCCGCGGCAGCCGCTGGGAGGTGAAAATGCTCTGGCTGCCAACAAAAGCCCGCTCTGCGGAGTCAGAGAGGCAGAGGGGAGAGGCACAGGGAAAACCAGCCCGGGGCTGGCCATTTCTGCTGTTGCAAATGCAGAGTTACTCACGCTCTGAATCCCAGCAGCTCCAACACAACATCTGGCGGGATCTGGCAGGGCTGGAGCTGCGCGTGGAACTAGTGAAATGTTAAAAACTGTCAAGGACGCTCCGAGTGGCAAGCCGTGTGACCCTCCCCACTGTGCACCTGTCTACCTGTCCACCTGTCTGCAGCCAGGCTGGTAACCTGCCCTAGCAGCACATGGAAAACACCTCCCTCCTTACCTGTTGCATTTAAACGGAAAGAAGGAGCCATCAGTGGAAGGGAGGAAAATAAAAGGCGTTGCCTACTTTTTCCCCTGGGTCGACTAGTGCATGTCAGTTACACGAGTATGGCTTCATCCATCCCATCACACCTGCAAATGCCACCTCCGCGGCGGACGCTCACACCCGCACACACCCCCTCCAGCCTCCTCCCAGGCTGACTTGGAGCATGTCCAGTCTGGCTAATATAAACATTTGCGTGGCTTTCCTCGTCAAAACTGGGTTCCCGTGTCTCCTCCTGGACGAACGGCCCCTTCCTTGGCGTCGAGCCTGGCCTCGGTGCAGCCAAAGCACGTCATTGTCCATGCCTGTAGCCACCGCCAGGTTCAGGTTCAGGTGCAGTCAGGCCGGGGACCCGGGCAAGAGCTGACTTATTGGTTGAGCTTCTTGCTAGTCCACGAATAGGCTTCTCCTCCGAAGAGCTGAAGATGCGATGTGAAAAATCCACCGACCGGCAGTCGGCTTTGAGGTGGCAGATATCAGAGGTCACGGCAAAGGCTGAAGGTGTGGATGTGAATGGGTATAAGAATAGGGAGTGAAGAAAAGGAATCAAATCAAAAGGACATTGGGGGCCGAGACAGGCAGAAATTACCTTGGCTGGGGGCAGCACAGTCGTGAGGGTGGCGGCCTGCCCACCTCTTCTCTACCCCAGGACGTGCAGACATAGGGTGCTTCTTTTCCAATCTAACAAGGACAGCCGAGGCACAATTGTCCTTTCTCAGGCGGTTGCTATTTCAGGAAATGTGTTCTACCAAAACAACTTTCTATTCATCCCATTACTGCTGGAGGACGCAGGCTGCATGTTCTTTTCCTGGAATGGCGGAACCGATTAAGGCTCCTCTGTCCATATGAACGTTGTGTGTGTGCATGCGCGTGTGTGCATGTATGTGTCTACTCAGAAGTGCACGTTCCAGACAAGCAACCTAAGAGAGCCTAGGTTGGCCCTTCAGAGGGCATTCTAAGGTGTAATTTTTAGCGATCATATTTTTCCATTGTAGGAACTTTATTAAGAGCCCACAATAGAGAATTTTTTTAAAGCAGATGTCATGCATCTGCCGTTATATATGCAATTTTTTATATTCTAGAGCCATTGGCAACTATTACATCCTCGGCAGAACGATCACACTTTTGAGCTCTCACTTTGAGAACAGAGCGTGGTTTGTTCACAGGCCAAGTTATTGCAACAAGGGAAGATGTCTCTGTTTTCGGAAATTTCTCAATTACGCTTTGCTGCTGAGAGCTGGCACAAAATAGTAACCCAGGAAGATTTACAGAGACTGGGGAGTCTTCCTGTTCTCACCGGATTCCTCGGGCATTATCTTGTATGTATCCCGGCAATCCCCGTGCATCTCGTTCTTGATTTCTCCCTTTGTCAGTTTATTGGGAGCTTAAAAACAATCCCAGTTCTGCTTCTTTTCCCTAAGATTAATCCACATCGCACCCTTTGAAAGGTTCTGCGTCTTAAAATATCTGTACGGTCTCTCGCAGAAACCAGCAGCCTTTCCAGGGACCGCGCTGGCGGCATCTCACACCCCCCACGCGGAGCGGAGTCTCTGCCCTCCGTGCACGTGACTGCTCCAACACCACCCTCTCCCGGGGCCAAGGCACAGCCGGTGACGGCGCTGTGGAGAGGACCCCGCGGCGTGGCATCCCTGAGTGTGGAAGGAGGACACTGTAAAATACTTTCCTTGAAACCTGACTCTCGTGGTCCTTCAAGAACATTTTGTTTTAGTTCTTTATATATAACATCCAGGCTGGATTGAGACTTTTGTTGGACTTGATTGGACTTTTGTTGGGGGAGTGGGAGGGAGTGTTTGGAGCTCTGGTATTGTTTCGAGCACACAGGAATAAAAACGGGAAGCTTAGTTTTGCTACCTGTAACCTATTCAACCACTTGGAAAAGATGCTTATCTCATGCGGGGGAGGGGGGAACGTTCAAGCTTAGCCATGACCAGCGTCACCCGGGGAATGGCTATTTGGAGAGAGGAAAGTGGGTTTATTTTGGTGCATAAATATTTTCTTAGCTTATTTTGCACACAGAATAAAATTAAAGGCTTCTTAAGAAACTGTTTAAACATCTACTTCTAAGGGAATATCTATCTGGTCTGCTACTCAACAGGAAAAAACCCCGAGGCTTAAACCAAGCAACTCAGCAAACTCAGCAACGCTCTGAGTTGAACATCAGGATTATGGGACAATTTCATGGAGGGGATTACCCCCCACATCTGGCTGTAGATTATGAAGACTTGGAGGTCTATCCCATCATTCCTGGGAATGGGAAACTAGCTCAGGTTAGATTAACACAAGCAAAAGGAAAGCTCAAAAATGACTTGGCCAAAAACGTTCATCTTTCCTGCACACATGTTTTGCTGGCAGCACTTGGAACAGCCTGCTCTCCTGTTTCCAGTCCGACAGAGTGGGCATGAATATCAAGTTGGTGAACGAGAAAAAGAGAACTACATGGGAGAGACGGAGAAGGGGAAGCTCTGAATAACCCCCACCTAAAATTACTGGGCTCTTAGTGACTGTATTCGGAGTCACCTAAAAGCAATTCGATTCAAGCCTCCATAAGAACGGAAAGGCAATTATCCGGGACTCGGTGCTTTTGAAAGTGCATTAGCAAAATGGACCGGGCTTTGGTCTCTGGCCAGATGCGAGCTCTAGTGGGCTTGCAATAGAAACCTTGCGTTTTTAATGGAAGTTAATTGCAGGTGGATGTTAAGTTTGTGGACTGAATGTTGTCATGGTGACTCAGGCAAGAAATTGCCTTTCAGTCTATGCCATGGGAAATTGTCAAAACAGTCTTGGCTTACTCATCTTCCAAGTATATTTTTAAAGAAATTATTTTGGAAAAAACAGCTATCACTGTTTATCGGCCACAGCTTTAAAGGAGTTGCTGCTGCTGTCACTGGGCATTCATCTTGCAGCAACAGAACCGAAATGCTCCCACCATGAGGCCCGAGCACAACGCCGCACACAACAAAAGCATCTGTCTCGCATTTCCATCAGATCGTCTTAATCTCAGCCTTGAAGTGCTACTTTGTGTCTTCCTCGAGAAACCTAGTGTTTCACCTGCCTGCCTTTGGGCCCACACAGAATCACGCCCACGGTACCAGACCTGTGTCAAGGACGGCCCTATGCCTGCCGTCTCGCTCCCGTTCCCTGGCCCCAGGCAAGCGGGGGGGGGCGCACACGCTGTGTCCTCCCTGGGGGATGGGAATGGGGTGATGTCCCCTCCCGTCCGAGGCAGTGGGGAGGGTGCGGGTTACCCTCTGGCTCCCCCAGACTCACTATGGGAACCGAGAAACCGGTTGGCGGAGCTGCAGCCCTGACCCCCAAGGGAGTGGCCAAGGAGAGCCCCAGCAGGTGGCCTCGGGGGAGGGAGCTTGCGGACAGGTGTGCGAAGCAGGCCTTGGTCTTTGTGCTTCTCAGTAACCATGGAAGCACAGCCGTCCCCTCTGGACCAGAGGGCAGAAACTGTAGGTATTATCCCATCCACAGAAAGGAAACTGAGGCCTAAAGAGGATGCCGTGCAAAGGGGCAGGAGAGCGGTGGGGCTGCGGCGTGTTTTCCCCGCCCTCGATCTCCCCGGCCCGCACTCCACCACAGCGGCCCTCAGACCCAGAACTCCACGATCCTCGCTTGTTACCCTTCACCACGCCGGCCAGGTCTTTAGCACTTTCAGGGCAATAAGTGTGCATGCGTGCGTGTGTGCATGTGCATGTGTTTGTGTGTACATGTGTGTGGGTCTGTGCATGTATGTGTGTTCATGTATATGCATGTATGTGTGTTCGTGTATGTGCATGTGTGTGTGCGTACGTGTGTGCGTATGAAAGAGAGGAGAGAACATGGCATCCTAGTTTCCCCACCCCCCCCCAGTAGTCGCGGCACGTGGGCTCTGCGAAGACACACGTAGAAGCGAAAGCATCCGTGGGGGACGGCCCCTTACTCGGGATCGCACGTGGGGCTGTAAGCCGGTGTGAGGTCGCAGTCCTCCCCGAGTGCCCGCCCCTGGGAGCCTCGCTCAGCCTCGGGCAAAGTCCATTCGCTCCCAGTCCATGGAGGAGCGGCTGTCCCACAGCCCACGGCTCCCGAGAGACCGTCTTCCATCCCTCTCTCACTCCCAGGACACACAAGGAAAAGGAGACAGGCATGACCTGGGTCTCACACCCGAGCTCTGGGTTTCGGGCCTGTGGCTGCTGAGGCCATCGCAAAGAACTGGTGAAAACGCAGGCACTCGGGTCTCCTTCTACAGGCGGATCCAACACTGCTTCACACGGACTCGCGACACCAGCTGCGAATGTGAATTCTACCACGGTGAATGCAATTCAGTTTTGCTTAGAAGGCCTTGGCGGGTTCACGTGACTTTCCTCAATGCGTGGATTGCACGGATAATAAAAGTATATACTCCTCTAATACGGGATCTGTGATTTATTGTTATCGTTTTAAACAGGGAGTCTCACATTTAAGAAGACATCTGGGACCCGCTAACCCAGAAGTCCCCGCGGCAACCTCAGGATGGGAGCAGGAGCCCTGCGCTTGAGGTTCCGCGCCCGGCTGAATCCTGTCAGGCGTCATTTGCTTTGCATGGAAAAAGCAAGACTGAGAGTGATTTGAAATTCTTTCTGAGTCGTCAAAGGGTTATACAAAGCAAATGTAAAATTGTTATTTATTGCCTCAAAATAAATTGCAAGAAACAAATTATCTTCGATTTCAGCAATCGTCCATGCCGTGCACCCTAGTGAGGGGCTGAGACGCCACAGCCAGGCTGCTCAGGCCAAATCCAGGCCCCGCCTCTCGGCTGTGTGACCCTGCACGGGGAAGTGCCTTGCTGTCCTCCTCCACACAATGGGAGTGCAGACCACGAGAGACCACGTGGGCCGAGGGAGTGGGCGTGTGTGAGGGGCTAGAGCAGGCCGGGAGCGCAGTCGGCGTCACGGAGGGACTTGGGGAAGGGAAGGAGGCAGAGACGGCGAGTGAGGACCCTGGACGGCCCTGGAACAAACAGTTAAGAAAGTCAGAGGCGTCCGTCTGTCCGTGACCTGCCTGTCCGTGTGAGAGCCTGGGAAGAGCATGTCGCTCATCAGAGGCATGGACGGACGGACGGACAGGCGCTGGCCGCTGTTAGTCTGCTGCAGTAAGTAAGGCAGGTCCCAAACGTCCCATAGCGGTCACCGGCTTTAAACAGTCGACAACAGAGCAGGAGCTGTAGACGTCCTGGGAAAGAGGCTCTGTGAAGCAATCCCCGAAAGGATTGTCTTTGGATTCTCGACGGCAGGATTTGTCTGCACATCTGCCACCAAACACTGAATTGCATCTCCCGGCCACGATGCTCTCCGTGAACTGCGGCCAAGCGACGTCTTTCAGGCTCCTTGTTGTTCAGCTGGGCACAGCGGGCGGCATTTGGAGAGGTCTACACGGGGAGGGCATTTCCGGGTGTGCAGGTGGGGAATGCCCGGCCTGCACCCAGTTTCTCAACGCCACGTGCAGTGCATGGCTCTGCTCCCGACTTGGGGGACGACTGCTGGTGAGCCCAGGACCCCAATCCCGGGAAGAGGGGGCGCCAGGGAGACCCCGGCCGGGCACCCGCTCAGAGCACGGGAGAGCCTGCAGATAGCGCCCTGCCGTCCAGGGGCGTTTCAGGTCGGGGGCATTGCATCGATGGGCGGAAGGGAAGGACTCCGGGAAGGGGCCCGGGAGGCAAGAGGAAGCCTGGAGGGTCTGGCCCCGCCACAGCGGAGGAGGGGGCTCTTCCCAAAGGAGAGTGGCCATGGAACGCCGCTGCCCGAGGATCGAGCTGGTGGAGGATGTGCTGGAAAATCGCCCGTCGGATCTAACGGCTCCGGGCCATTTCCTTGTCCTTACAAGAGCAGCGTTGGTGGAATTGAAAGCACAAAATTAGATCATGATGAGACAAAGAGGGAGTTGGACTGGGGACGGGTGGGCAGCAACGCCCCAAGGCCAGGCGGGCCAGCTGGGTCAGCCCGTGACCGGGAGGAGCTCGGGCTCAGGTGGAGTTGGCTGTGGGATGCACCGTCCCAGACCGTGGGCCCCGAGCGCCCCCAGGCACGGGGGACCGGGCGCCGGGGCTCAGACGAGATGGAAGGGCACCCTTGACCATGGACGGGCAACTTCCAAACTGCTTGTAAAACTGCTTGTAAAAAGAACTTGGCGATCAAAGCAACAAACGTACCTATATCTACATCAATACCTGTATAAACATATGGTATATTTATATAATACATACTGTACATATATATAGATATTATATAATATGTTTGCACATGCAGATGTGTTTACATATGTGTGTATAAACACATAAGAAAGAAAAACAAAGAACTACTTTAAAAGACTCAAAGCTTACATCTGATTCATTCTGCCCCTTCAGCAGACGTGACCTTCCTGAGACCTCCAGGGTCTATTTTCCTAAAGTGAATGTTTGGTTTCTCTCCATTATCCCAAAAGAAAACTTATAGGTATGACCGGACAGAAGGATTTCCCTAGCTCTGGTTCTGACTCTGACCACGCCCTCACTGGCTTCTGCCGCAGTGCCGTACACGATCTTGAGAGGCCACCGGATGCCTGCAGTGAACGCGGGAATGGCAGCGTGCTTGTCCCCGCAGTGACATTCAGGGGTGACATGCAGAAAAGCACAGCGGCTCCTTTTCGGTCGAGGTACCCCCTTTTGCTGCCGCCTCTGTCCCGGAAGCCGCCCTCCGTGCACACCTGCCCCATCCGTGGATGCCGCGCCCACCTTCGTGCCCCGTGGCCCTGGCGTTCCTGTCCCGCCCCACCTGTGCTCACACGGCCAGGAACGTGCCCCCGTCTGAAACCCTCCTTGCGCCCAGAAGTCGGCACGAGGTGGCCGGGGTGCGT